ATAATAATAATAATAATAATAATAATAATAATAATAATAATAATAATAATAAGTTTTTGTGAAACAACAACAAAAAAACAATATAATACCTCTAAAAAACATAAAAACAACAAGAAATAAATTAGATCTTTGAACGAAACGAGTCGCTCGTGAGTTTGGCTTGACTCGTTTAGGATTGAGTTCGATTCGGTTCGTTTAAAAAACAAGTCAAGCTCTAGCTCTTTTAAAGCTCATTTTGTTAACGACCTGAGCTCGACTCGATTCTTTTGATAAATGAGAGCTCGAGCTCATTTAATGTTTATTTCGCTAATGATCCAGACTCGACTTAGCTGATCAACTCGATAAGACTTGAAAAAAGGATTTTTATATGATTTTTTTATAGTTTGGCCTGTTAAAGCTCGAGCTTGACTCATTAATATTGATAAACGAGGTGAAATCGAGCTCGATTACTGGCTTGTTTAATAAACAAGCTCAGTTGTGCTCGGGTCATTAAGGGCTGAAGCTCGAACTCGAGCACCATGAGCTCAAGCTCGCTCTTTTACAGCAATTCATAGATTTGTAAGAGTAAATACATTTGTATTAATTACAAAAAGTATGTCCATTATTCTTAATAATTATTTAATTAACGTAATTATTAATTTAAATTATTAGTAACTAATTAGTTAAAATTCATGTTGTACTAACTGGAACTATACATACCTTTGTTAATTTCAATATTGGGACCATATATTATGTAGAGGTTTATTGTTATTAAGGATATTTTTGTCTTACAATTAAATGAGTTTCACAATATATATAAATCCCCCTATATATTAATACAGAACGCGCTGAGCCTACGTGGTTGTTTCTGGTGCTTCGGAATCCTATGTGGCAAAATTACATGCTTCGTTATTAGGCTTGGGTAAATTTTAATTTAATTCCAAACCAAAAATAATTAGGTTTGGATTACCATAAATATGTTGATTATTTATGATCATGTTACATGTATTAATTGTATTTTAATATTATTCCTTATTATAACTATTGAATTGTATATATATTTTAAAATTTAATAACTTTTGTATTTTTTATCAGTTTTACATATGTAATATATCAAATTAATCTTCTTTTGATGAGCTTCGATTTAACATCCATATTGTATGTATAAAAAAAAATATATATTTATCTTTATAACAATAATAAAATTATTTTTAATATTAATTAGAAAAATAAAATTATTTATCAACTAATATATTTATATTTCAAGTAGTTATATGATATAAGTTATAAAAACTAATATAATATAACACATGTAAGTCATAAGTAACACATATCATTCTAAAATATATAGTAATATATTTTTTTTGTAAAAAAATAAACTAAATTTAATATATTGTTTTCATTAATTTTAAAATTTAAGAATAATTTTTTAACAAGCACCCGTGTAATACACGGGTGTTGTACTAGTTAATTGGTTAAAGAGACATACTTGTCCATCTATAGTGAACAGAGTTGATACCGAAAAGAAAAAAAAGAACATATATAATTTATTACTCCATAAAATTTATCTGTTGAAGTGCTTAATTTATGTAGACAAATCACTAAAACTATAGTAATCAATGAAATATTATATCTCCCCAATTAATCTACCAAATAACAAATCATTAAAACTATAATAATCAAACAAACCAAATACAACATCAATAACAATTGTTAAATGGAAAACAATAACATATAATTAAAATTATAATAATCAAACAAGCCAAATACAAAATCAAACAATTGTTAAATAAATGGAAAACAAAGGATCATTAAAAGGGGAATTCAAAGTTCATACGAATTCATGCAGATTAATTAATTCAATTTCTACTTTAGGCGCCTGCAGAGCGAAAGCCCATCGCCTACCGAAAGATGAACCAACTCGATGCGCTCATCATCCGCCAAAAACGCGTTCAAGGTCTTGAGGTGCATCCGATTTGGGCCAATTTTTTCGACCCACTCTTGGCCCAGCTCCTCGTCGGACAATGCCACTGTCCCGGCCCACAATGTGTTGTCGTAGGCTATGATTCCCCCAACCTTAACCAGCTTCAGCATAAGCTCGTGGTATTTGATGTAGTTTTCTTTATCAGCGTCTATAAATGCAAAATCAAATGTCCCTTCTTCCCCCTAATAATATATATTTTAATAAATAAAATTAGTTATGTGTACTGTAGCAACATCTATTGGTATTTTATAGTATTTTTACATATAGAAACCATATAATACTAATCACTTAATGAATAATATCTTTCCTTACTAGCTAGTAATATATACTCACACTTTCAAGCAACTTGTTGATAGCAGCCATTGCGTCGGAAGCCAAGAACTCGACTTTATGCGCGACGCCGGCCTTCTCAATAAATGGTAAACCGGTTTTGTATGCATCTTTGTTGGTATCGATCGCAATCACCTAATTGTGAAATTAATTATTAACGAGCATCAATCGTTTTATAATACGGTTTAATTAATTTAATAATATTTATATTAATATGATATGATACGACATCATGTACAATAATAGTACGTACCTTGCCGTCGTTAGGGAGAGCAAGAGCAGTGGCCAAAAGCGAGTATCCCGTGAAAACTCCAATTTCGATTGTTTTCTCTTTGCGTTCATTATTTTCAAAAGCAGAGAAAGAAATTGGCCTTCGTCAACTGGGACATTCATCGCGCTCCTAACGAATTATATTATTATATTATTAAGAGAAATTAACAAAAATGGTAAATATATATATGTACATAATAATATAAGGTTATAAATTAGTTAATTAATTAATATTCATTTCATAGCTAAATAATTTTATTTGAATTAATTGATGAGTACCAGGTACGTACATTTGTTGGTATTTCTCAACAGAGGCATTCCTGAGTTGTTGTTGGAGCTGTGGATGCTCTCTTGGGTAAGCACTTGTCTCCAAAAGGTACTACAATATAATACTACCTTCTATTCTTTTTAAATGTCATTCTGGCATTATCAACTATTAACAAAATAAATGTCGTTTTGGATATTTTGTACATATTTTTCCATTATTACCCTCATCTAGCTAATAAATATACTACGTCTTTTCATATTCACTCTTCATCTTTTCTCAAAACATTCATCTCTATCCTCATTAATTAGAGTTATTATTGGCAAAAAAAATATTCTTAATAAGTGTGCAACTTTTCAAAACGACACTTATTATGAATAGGAGGGAGTATAATATGTAGTAGTATTTATTAACATTTCATAGCTGTGTGTGTATGTATGTATATGTTGTATAGCGTACGTACCTTAATTGGTGAGGGCTTCACTATTGAGAATTGTGCATGAGAATTTCTCTTTCATTTTCGAAGGATAAATATCAAACAGAACAAAATATGAATCTAAAAAACAGCAAGTAGTTCATGTGTGTGTGTAAGTAAGATCTTATTGTTTGGCCCATCTTTTTGGAGCAATTTATATATTAAAAAAAATAAAAAAAAAACATGTGGAAAAAAAAAAGAAAAAAAAAGATAGTGGACAACAATAAAAAGCACGTATTTAAGGAATACGTTTTCCATCCAATTTGTGTAGAAAACGTATTCCTTAAATACGTTTTTTCAGATTTATTTACAAAAGAAAACATATTCAGTGAATACGTTTACAATTAAAAAAATAGTAAAACATATTCATTGAATACGAGGTTTTTATTTCGGTCCATTCTCATTTATTTGTGTATTTTTTTTCCACACCTTAATTTTTTTTTCAATTTTCTGGTAAAAAATTCCATCCTTTTTGTTGGGTTATATTTTTTATAGTAGAAGCTGAGGGTAGTTAATTAATGCAGTCATATCTTATGATTGCTGACTGGTCCAATTTATTTATTTATTATTATTAATAATATTATTATTTTCCTTGTTGCAATTCGGAATTTGTAAGGTTGGGTTGTGTTTTGTCGGTTTCTTGGACAGGCAGACAGC